AGATTCCAAAAATTACGTGAGTGATTACGAAGGGAGCGTTGGTAGTGCGAGGTGAACTCACGGATTAACAGAATCGCACGGCAGTATTATTAATTTGCAAATGCGTAATCTTGTTTCACGGAATGTTCAATGTGCACATCTTAGTATTAGACTAAACAAAAAGAACACGATATTCTTACTAAAAATAAAATAATAAACAAATTATTCAAACTCTAGACCATCTGGAGAGTGTCCGGGATTACTTAGTCGAAAATTTCAAAGATTCTATACTGAGATCTTAGAAGATAAATTTAAAATTCTTATAACGTAGTTTCCTTATAGTTAGCAGGAATGAACTGATAAAGTGTTTCTAGGTATAGTTGGCAGTAATATCTTAGGACTTTTGCTGCTATGAGTATTTTATTTTTATAATTAAAATATAAACACACTTTCATGTTCGGTATATAATTTAAAAAAATATTAATATTATAATAATAGTTTCTTACAATTGATAAATGCTAACCCATGATTCTACGTGCTATTCCAAAATACAATTATTGTTTACGGTTGAAAGGTGAAGTACGCGTATAAATACAAATTTTGCAAAAAAAAACAGCTGCTTATGTGACAACGAATTGCATATTCCAACGAATATTCCAGAAGATTGGATATCTATGGTGTATTTTAGTTTTGCATATTGGCCAATTTAAAATGCGAACTAGGCTCCGGTGTTACCGCGCCCCGTGTGTCGGTGGCGTCGTGTAATAGTGGGCCGATACAAAATAGAAATAATAAGACAGTGTTGGTCCATTTAAAAATAGTGTTGCTGTCAGCAACTTAAAGCTGGGTTTTGTTTTTTATTTATGCAACATTAATAAATCTTTTTTTATATTTCTCGACACGTCAATCATATTGAAACATTATAAATTCCGCGACCATATTTTATTTTCTTATTCCCAATAAGACCGCACCTCCTTTCTGAATTCCTTACAACTACTACATGATTCGTTCGTTTCCGACAAAAATCTTCTGCCTTTTGCTTTATCCTTTACTGTATTAAAATTTATTATATTCTTTCATAATTAATTAATAATATTAAGATTTCATATGTTTTTATTTTATATGTTTATCTCCATATTTTGTGTTTTATAACTTAGCTTATCCCCTTGTTTACTTATGCAAAAATACTGTGGTTTTTTTATGTCTTTTAAACTGTTTTTTTTCTACCTCTTACTTGAAACTGGCATAAAGTTAAAACTATTGCCATTAAAAAAACATTATAAATTAGTCTGCTCAAAGCAAATGAAATCAATCATTTTGTAGAAGAGTGTTCTATACGCACTTTTCTAATTAGATCCCTGTTTAAATTATATATGAGCCGTACAGTTTTGCATGATTACCACTAAGCATCTCTAATGGATAAACAAAGTTAGCTGTACATGTTAATGGTGTTTAGACAAGTCACTTGATGGAGGTTGAAGGCAGACACGAGTGTACACACACAAAAATAAACTCATTTGATCTTCACTCTTGGTTCTTGAGGTCGGGCTTTGCGTGGGCTTATCTTAATAGACATGCAGCGGTATTTTATATTATTTTAAATAGTTAGGGCAATTCAATATCAAAATACTAAACTAAACGTTACAGTCCTGTTTAATAAATACTTAATTTATTTTGTCAATAACCTTATGTTTGCCATGAACAGTGATTGATATGATTCAGATCCTAGCAATAAAAATAGTTAGGCATTTTGACAAAGCCCCCTGAACTTGTCTAAAGACGCAGTTTGCTCCTATACCATTTACCTTTACATATTGTTTTACGATCCTTCAAGAAAAGAGGCGAATGAATACGAGTGTCGAGATCTTTGTTCCAGAGATCCAAGGAAATAATAATAACAATCTTCTTTCTATCAAACAAAACCCACCAACCGACATATATTTATGTTGTGTTTCACAAAAAAAGAAAAAGTACCAGACTCTTATGTTATGACAGTAGGTTCAAGGGTTCTATTGACACAAACCGTGGACTGTCCAAGACACTTCAACAAGCCATTGACACGCTTAAACCATAGTAGTAAGGGCGTTTATTGGCTGAATTTTACATTGTGTGGCTTCTATTGTTTTTCTAGCGACGACATAGTAAAGGATGCTCAACGTAGCCTACTTCCTACATACGATTATGCTTCAAAACTGTTTTCATTGCATTTTTATTACATTGTACAATGTATACACACTATATAAATTGATTTTTATATAATATTACGCTTGTTTAAATGCCTAATACGACCGTTGTGTGTAGCGACATCTACATTCAACGGCTACAATCACTGCGATGACGTACAGATACCGGAAAACATCTTGAACATTAAACAAGAGAGTGGGGGAAAGTTTGCGCAGCGCTTGACTCAAAGGTCAACTGATTTACCAATCACGCGATCGACACGTCACTCTCCCGCCGCCCAGTAATACCTAAAAATCGCTTCTGTGCAGGCAAGGACATTCGTTCAAGATGTTTGCCTGTATCTGTAGATACCCTTAAAATACTATCAAACTTATTCCGGCTAAGGGTTTATACAACTCCTCGGCTACTGGGGCCTTCAGGCCAGTTAGACTTGTCGAGGATTCTCCCTTTAGGTTGAAGGAACTGTTCACCTTCCTTCCTCCACAAAAATACATAGTGTTTTTAACATGAAATCTAATATAAATCTAATCTAATACATCCATATTCGAGATTGAGGTTACCCCTGTAAGTAACAATACAAGATTGATACAGATGTCAATCACTAGTGCTCTGCTGTTTTATTCGCTTTAGTTCCGTCTATATGTTATACATATAGCATACGATTGAATACAATTAATCTGTATAAGACTGGCCGTAATTTTCTACTTTACTAACATCTAGATAAGTGGTTACCTATTATATGTGCATATCAAAACTAACACATAAATTGATTTAAAAATAACTTATATTTAAAATTATATAATGGAAACAAACTCATCCGAGGAAAATCTCAAACCTCAGCGGGTTTTGTGACCGGTAGTCAAAAGCTTTCAATAGGCTGTTAACCACCCACTGAATTATTAAAACTCTACAGGGCAAGGCCCTTTAGAGTAGAGAGGAGTGGGTACATAAACATATATGGGGACTAAAAATAAAAATGTTAGGAAAATACTTTGACGGGATTTAAAGGTACCACATTAATTCTACAATTATAATTGTAGAAAGAAAGATATGGTAAAACAAAAGACGAAATGATGCGCGTTTTGTTGTAATTTCAATTCATTAGATTAGTCAATTTAATCTCTAGATTCTAGTCCAATAACAGACACGCGAAACGATTCGTCTTTCCGTTACGGCAAAGACAGTTAAAGTAAATATAATTGTCTTTGGTTTCACCAATTCATGTGTTTCATAGATTACATGCCACATTATGATTAGGACTTAAATTAAAAATATATGGATACAATTCATTCAGATTTACTGATTAGGCTTTTCTTGATATTGGATGATATAGTAGTAATGTATTGAAAATGAAATTAAAGAAAATTTTTAAGCACTATTTTGCGTAATTTGTAACAAATTGCCAAAAATTAAGTTTTCGTCTTTTTTTGCTAAAGCAGACATGACATTTCAGTGATTCACTGCCTTATTTGCTAAAATTAATAACGTGAAATATCTAAAATAACATGTTTTGTACCATATTTCCCTTAAAACAAATATATGGATAGTCGTTATATTTCGAAACTGTAAGGAAAATAGTCAAATTAAATCATTATGCAGGTATTATTTCAGACAGCTGACCTTGAACTTAAAGCAGGTTCAAGTGCGAGGATATGCCAAAACAGAGGGGGCTCTTAAATTGGCTAAACGGCCAATTCGTTGCTCTTCCTCCATTCTTTATGTCAACTTCAATTAAATGATTTACAGTCCTTTGAACATTTAATATCAAGCTAAGACAAAAGCGCTACAAGGTACCTAAACTTTAATAAATTTATTATAAAATAAAATAAAAAATAAATAAACAAACTTTATATTTGTTCAACCACTATTTGACTTTTATCCATCGGGAAAACAACTTTTTTACACCTAATTGTTCATGCAAGATTATTTGTATTTGACTCATGCCAATGTCTAAAGTTTCCTGAATTTCGCGGTATGTCACATGTCGATCTTCCTCAATCAGCTTACGCACAGCATCAACGTTTTCTTGGGTGACTGCAGTTTTTCGACGACCTCGACGGGGATCATCACTGAGCTTGACACGTCCACGTTGAAATTCAGCAAACCAGCGATAAATTGTGGTTTTGGATGGGGCTTCATCACTAAATGCAGAAATCATCCGGTCAACACACTGTTTTTGTGATAAACCACTTCGAAAGTCATAATAAATCATCGCTCTTTAATTTTCTCGAGTCAATTCCATTTTCTCAACGACTAAACAAGTTTGACAAAACTTTGTGACAAGACCGAGAATCTTTTTTAAAATAAATAAATGTTATTCGATTTTTAAAATCAAGGAGTTTTCAATTAAAAAGATTTAAATATGACAGGAACAGTGGTATTATTCCATTCCCGATACTTTTAGTGCAGCCCTCGTAGAACATTTGAGTAAATCGTGTTAAAAATTTGTAATATATGTATTTGGTACCTGTACTTTTTTTAATATAATACCTATGTGATGGCAGACTTATGGCATTACAATGTGTTATAATTTTTGTGCGCACTTGCGCTTACTTAAAACTGATAATTAAATTCAATGCTTGATTTAATTGTCAACATTTAATCTATTCTAAAATAAGATAAGTGTAAAATATCCTACTATGCTAAAAATAAAGTTACATGACTTCCTAGCTGTGTCAACCATCAACTGTCAAACATCAATACTGTTAAGTGTGCTGTGTGGTTTTGTTATGAATATTCACATTTCACAATTGAATTTAACGGCCACCGAAAATTTAATATTTGAAGTATTTGAGTATATTATATGTTCAAAATTATATTTCATAATAAAATATACAATGAGTCAGCCGAGCGATATAACCGATGAAGAATATATACCTTTTTTGAAAAGTCTAGGCGTTGAAACTTATAACAAGTCCTTTGAATGGATGCTAAACGATCCAGAGATTTCTGGAGTTTTGCGATGGATTTATGAGAACATAGACGCGAATAATGCTTTGACTGATCGAGAAGAATGCAGGTAATCTTTAAATATATTGTTTTTGTCTACTCAATAATCCAACTTAGTACCAGATTATTAATGTCAATATTTCTAGTACCTAAATGTAATCTAAAAAAACGACTAAAATAGTTTATTATAATAAAAAAGAATTCCCAGAATGTTTTTATTGTGATTCTTTTAAGGTATGCCGAATTAGAAAGAACTGGTCGACTTCTATCTTCAGAGGAATTAGAGGCGGCTGTGTTGGATCTTCAAAATGAATTTGAAGGCATATGTTTACCAGGAGACCAGGAGGCCTTAGAGGATATGAAAATGGATATTAAGATGGAAAAAGAGAGATTAGATATGCTTGAAAAACAAGAAGTGATTTTGGAAGACATGATGCAAAGAAACAAGTAGGTTACGCAAATAATCCTTTTCATTAGAACCGCCTATATGAGTAGTACACTGGCCAATAGATGGGTCTATCTGCGTTTGTTACTTAATTAAAATAAAACTGGATTATAGTTCTAAGCAATAGCTAATCATACTTCTACAGGCTGCTTATATAAATATTTAATAGTATGTTTATTTAGTAATTGAACTTACAGAGACTTAAAGAAAGAATTAAATGTTGAAATTACAAAGCTACAAGCAGCTGAGTTACAATGTACAGAAGATGAAGCCAATTTAGGAAAAGATTGTTTGAAGCTTGCTAAAGAAGTTGAATCTATAACAAGTGATGTCATGGCTATAGTTGGAGATACACTTGACATATTATCAAACTGTCAAGAGGATAAGGTAATGGTTTTTTAATTAATGTACTGCAAAGTAGCTTTTCATACCCCTCACATTAATGTAATATATTATACAACTTTTCCTTAATGTGTTCTATGAACTTGTTTATGGATTTAACATTATTGCCCTTGTTAACAACAGCTACCATTAGCAGTTGTTGACTTTAATTAATTTTTCTTTATAATGTGGTTCCATTTCTTCAATAATCAAAACCAGGACATTCTCAGGTTGTAAAGATAATTTTATGTACACAACAGAATTGTAGAGGCATCTCTAATAAGAAGGTAAATACATAGTTAAAAATCCATTGTGGTGTGCATATTACTTTTTATTCTTCAAATAGTGTTGGAGTTCTTAACATTATGAATTGAATTGATGAGAAAACTGGCAAGTAACTCTCCTCTCTTTCTCTTTGTCATCTACTTGTAAGCTGCAACTATAACAATAGTGTTATGGTTGTAGCTTGAGTATGGACTCAACATGATTAAATAATGTTGAAATAATTAATTATAATAATAAATAATTAAATAAAAACCAAACAAGACAAACTTCAATTTCCTTTAATCATTATTCTATTACTTAAATCCAAGTATTAATTAAAACTTTCAGGATTCTGCAAAAAGGTTCCTCGCATTTGGCCCAATAGATCAATATCACAAATCACAAGCCCTATTTAGGTCTCACTTTGATCTGTACTGTACAAAAAGACTTAAAAATCCAGAAATCCATATTAAAGAGGAAGAAATCATGAGAGCTATTATTAAAGCAAAAAATGTAGAAAGCAGGTTTGTACATGTATTCTTAACATATAGACTTTAATGTTGAACTATCTAAAAAAAACTTCTATATGATTACTGTATTTTTGAAATACCTTAACTTCATGTAGAATTGGTATTTTAAGTTAGTTTCGTTCATATAAAAGCTAAAAGGTGATCAGCCTAACCCAACAAACCCATAATAAATAATATTTTATGTGAACCCAAGTTAAAATCAAATATAACAATAATATTATAAATATATAAAATTATAATATTATTATATATTATGATAATAATATAATATAATAGATTTAATTATTAATATATATTATTATTATAATATATAATAATAATATTATAAATTTATATGTAATATTATGTCTGGCAATTATTTTTGTAAACTCTGAAACACTCATATAATGTGTACATAATAACTCTTACATCATTTAATTTTTTTTTTAAACTGCAGGTTATTGGATGCCATATCTGCATATATTGACAGTACAGTGGACTTAAGCGGTGAAAGGGCGAAGCTGGTTCTATTGGCTAACTATACCCAGCCTAATGCTAATGATGTTGCGTAAGAATTAATTTTGTTTTTTACTAGGCTTTTATTTTAATTATTTGTAATACAATACATGTTCTGATTCATTATTGTTGTTCACAAAACAAAAAATACAAAAACAATACAAGTACAACAAACTTATTTAAAGTTTTGTCTGAGCTATTTTTTTTAAAGGTGAAGCGGGCTGCAATAATTTTTGATTTAATTTGAAGCATTTGTAAATGGCAAACACAAAACACTAGTAGAGGCATATACACTACGACATCTTTATAAATTGTGTCTTGACTGAGAAACTATGAAAATTACAAATCTTTTATCTAGCCAAACTATTTCCTTATATTTTTATTACATTATTATTCTTTTAAGCAAAAATAAATGTTTATTAAAGTTCAAAAAGTAAATTTAAATAATAAAGACTTGAGTATTTGACTCTAAATTCTGAGGTGGTGAAGAAAATAATTGTGAGGAAACCGGCATGCCTTGCCTCTAAAAATCTAATCAAAATGTAGATCATGGTTTTTTATTATAAAATTATTTTTTTATAATATAATAATATTTTTGTGTATCTTACAGAACATACACAATGGAAGTGATGAGCAATATAGAGATGTTGGAGCAAGAGGAGTTGATAATAGAGAAGCAGATTCAAGACGCGGTTAAACAATTTGTGCGTAGGCGCACGACGTTAGTAGAAGAATCAGCAGCTAAGATCGCCCTGAATGTTCGACTGTGAGTTGACTGTACTGTTATTTCTTGTGTATTTTTACGACTCATTCAGCTTTAATGTGAGGCATAATAAACATAAACTTTTTAATGCTTTTGGGTATATTATACGCATTTTCCATACAACGATTGATATATATTTTTAAACACTGCAAAAATTGCGTCCCGGCTCGCCCATAAATATTGATTAGCCGGGGCGTATCTCGCGAGACGTGTGATGTGAAGTTTAGAGATAGAAAAGTCCCTGGACACAATGGCAGGGGAGTAGAAAAGGTATTATTTATGTAAAAAAAAAACACTGCAAAATACTTCGTCTTCGAGTCAAGCACTTTTTTCGAGATGACTTAAAAAACGAGTCGAGCACGACGTACAGACCCAAGGCTCTGTACATCGAGAGCAAAAAACGTATATGTCAAGAGATCGTCGAGGTATTTGCTACCGCGGTTAATAAATGGACTACCCAGTCAGTTATTAGATAGCCTAATGTTAACCAACATAAAAAGTAAACTGAAAAACTAAATTTGTATGAATTTGTCGCGCTCCTAAACAAGACTGCTATGGTTACATTTATACAAATCACAGTGGTTTTCCAATGTAACAACATATCATGATCTTATTATATTATTCTGTAATATAAATAAATTATTATTTTTTATTTATTTTAGTTCCAAATGTAACCACAGAGTGCTTAAGTGACCTTTACATTTTAGGTTTGTATTTTTTTTTTTATAATAAAACAATTTTTTTACCGGATTGAAGTTATGTATTTACAATTATACTTCTTTAAATTATTATTCGACTTTCGTCTTCAGTCACCGTGACCACGCACGCTGTAAAGCACGCGAAACGTCGGTTAAATTTAAAATTATGAAAAATAATAGTAAATACATAACTTCAATCCGGTAAAAAAATGTTTTATTATGAAATGTGAAAGTTATGTCAATAAAAGACAATAATATGTATTTTTTTTGTTATTGCTTAAACATTTTAAGGTTTTAATCTCAAGCCTGGAGTGATAAAAAACTATAGTAAATTATGAATAGGAAATACACATTCACACACACTCACACAAGTGAAAGTCTAGGTTAGGTTAGGTATATCTATATAATGTTCTGAAACTTGGACAAAAATCCATATGGTGTTTTTATATTTTCAGGCAAATTCAGAGCGATTTAAAATTGCTATTGGCCACAACGCGAGAAGCGTTAACGCTGGATAGAATCTTGTACTACGCGTTACGACGCGAACTTGCCTCTTTGGAGGAGGTTTTGCAGTTCGCTTCCCATTTAAGAAGCTATGTTATACAAGAGGAAGATGCTGTGTCGAGCAGGATCGTAAGTTATTGACAGTGAATAAATAAGTAGTGCCCGAGATTTTGTGGAAAGAGTGGTGGGTGGAAGTTACTATTTATAAAAAATTAAGCCAAGGGCTTTTTACTCTGAAATTATCATTGAATAATCTTTACTAATATTATTAAGACCAAGAATTTGTTTGTTTAAACATGCTTATCTCAGGAACTGTTGGTTTGAATTGAAAATTTCTCTTTGTATTGGAGAGTTAAGTAAGAAGTGTTTGCTTAAGCGCGGCTCTTACCCCCTGAGGTCGTAGGTTCGTTCCCCGGCTGTGCACCAATAGACTGTCTATGCGCGCTATTAATGCGCGTTTTTAGCGTCTTTGGATTGTTATAACAACTCCAGTTACTGAGTAAGAAATTCGGAATAAGGGAATAATTGATAATTAATTTAAAAAAAGTGATAAATTATATCCTTTTGAGGGCTTTGATGCGCGCGCTGCCTAAACTTTTAAAGTCACGTGTTATGGCACTGTTCTTTAAAAGCCAAAAAATATATCTCTATTTACAATATAACCTTTTAAATTTCAGCAATCAATGAAGGAGATAACAGACGAACTGGATCGATCGGATTCGACGAATAATATAATGCTGTCGTCCTTATGCAAAATATTGTCTGTTACTGACTTTAAGTCTCTCGTACCAGAATATAAAGATATGAGGAAAAAAAGCAAAAAGACTGAGAGAAGAAATTGTGGTAGATGAGTGGCATAAAATGGCAATTACACCCTTGACGAAAAGGAAAAGCGGATTTAAAAAATTTAAAATAATAAAATGTAAGAATAAGTTAATACCGTTTAAGTAGTATTATGATTAGTGGTAAATATGTCAGTTGGTAAGTGGCATAATATGGCAAACATTGGGTTTCTACAATTTTTTAAATAGACCGTTAACTAGAACTTGACACATATGTGTCAAATTTGGTAATTTGCACCTTAACTAAAAGGTATCTAAAGGCTGTTAGTTATATGTTATTAAATTATTCTCATTTTTTTTATGTGCTTTGTAAAATTTGTGGTTAGTCATTAACAATAAATCAATTTTGCATAGTACTATTATTGCAAAATAGTTAACCTATAAATAAATATTAAAAGTAAAAAAGCTAAAGTATCCATCTGTCCTTTTCATCACAGCGTCAACTCAATATGAAAGAAAGAGACAAAAGACGTAGTGCAATTGGACTATTTTGAACTGCACATAAAACAAATTAACTTTAATTTTACAGAAGGCGCTCCCAAGCAATTCTCTATCCGTACGTATGGGGCGGATGTACGCGCGCCGCAGCCTGTCACAGCCCGGAAGTGTCTGCCATGACACATGCGCTTGCGCATCAAATAAACAGCGTTGATGAGACTATCAAAAACATTGGCATGCTATTTACCACTGTCAAGGTAAATATATAAATAGTAATAGTTAATCATCATGCATGATTTAAGAAATAAATGGTTTATAGTCAACTAAACTATAATTAAAATGTACGTAAAATCCTGTGTCAGTCAAAGTCGAATTATTTGCATGCAACTATATAAAGCGCAAATTCGGCCCCACATGGAGTACTGCTCTCACCTCTGGGCGGGGGCTCCCCAGTACCAGCTCCTTCCACTTGACCGTATACAACGCAGAGCGGTTCGAATCGTCGACGACCAATCCCTCTCCGAGCGGCTTGATCCTTTGGAGTTGCGTAGAGATGTGGGGTCACTCTGTATCTTCTACCGCATTTACCATGGAGAGTGTTCAGAGGAGTTGTTCGGATCTGCAGCTGAGTTTCATCATCGTCGAGGCAGAATACGAAATTCCACCCGTATCACCTCGACGTCCGCCGTTCCACAACTGAGCGTTTTTCATGGCAGTTTTTGCCGCGCACCATCACTATGTGGAACCAGCTGCCCACTGAAGTATTTCCGAACCAATTCGACTTAGAGTCCTTCAAGAAAAGAGCGTATCAATTCTTAAAAGGTCGGCAACGCACTCGCGACCCCTCTGGCTTTGATAGTGTCCATGGGCGGCGGTATCACTTAACATCAGGTGAGCCTCCTTGCCCGTTTGTTTTATAAAAAAAAAATATATATATTTATTTCAAGTCCTATTTAAAAGGCACTTTTCCCATATTACAGAGTAAAAATTTTAAAAAGAAAAATGACTAGTTGCCCCTTCCAAAAGGTAGTTTCATATGAAGAAGAATGGGCAAGAAACTCTATTTTCAATCTTTTAAAATAGTTTTAACAATATTTTGTATACATTGATTTGATAATTACGTATATAATATGTGAAGACCATGTACCTAGAACAAAAAAAGCTACTATACTAAAATAAAATAAGCGCATGGTGTTATAAAAAACTATGCAGCGGCTAACAAAATTATTATATAAATACATGGTGCTTACATATTTACAAATATTGCAACTGTAGATTTTACATTATTCTTTATAAAAAAAGAAATATGTCTTCTTAAAAATGCTTATCACCAATCAACATTTTATATAAATTAAAATAGTGAATATTTTTAATATGCAGTCAATGTTTGACTAACAAAAAAAACATATCCTAAACCATTAAAATCTAGCCTAATTTAAGACTTTACTAAGGATCATAACAGTGTCCAATAATACTACTTACTGACTCTAAGCTGAAGACACTCTGTTCTTGTGTTCATAGAATATATTGATAATTCTTTAGTTTTTTGTTGAATATCTCATTATAGAAGGAAAATATTCCTTCGTATAAGACATAAAACGCTACAACCTTTTAGGTCTCTGTCTGAGATATCTATTTCGTGACGTTTGTTTTTACTAATAGATATGAAGGCTGATCTTCTAAATACGGTTGACCTTTTGGGTCTAAGCTATGATATTCCTCGCGATGTTTTTCTCTTTATGAGCGCATTAATACCTACATAGAAAGCCCACAGCCGGCGTTCGAACCCACGAGGGCTGAGAATCGCAAGCTGAAGCCAGGTCAATACTTGTACGATTTATACACGTGTTTGGCATCTTCTAATCTTATTCTAGTATTATTATATCTATGATTGGTTCTTTGTGCCTCTGAACAAATACTTTTGATGTACTTTTCATATAAGAATCGTACATTAGAAGTTATTTTATCTGAAGTACTTACATCTCTTTTCATCGTAGCGCAAACATAATCTGTTAGAAAGAGACAAGAAACTCCCTGCCCCCTCCCATCTTCCCTAGTTTAATATGGGTTAATTTAAGTGGCGGATAAATAGGCATTTCCTGGTCAGGCGAGAATAGGCCACGTCTCACTTAACATTGACCAAACGTCTTTTCAGTTCTGTATAAAAAACGTTTTAATTAAAATGTTGTATAAATGAATAACTCCGAATTTCAGCATGGCGAAAAACATCACCTGAGAAAGTTTTGGCAGTGGTTTTTAACGGATCCAGTTAAGTTTAACGCAGCCATTAGAAGAGTTTATTGAAGTGGTGAGTTAGTAACGAAATAACTTTGTTAGTATATATATATATATATATATATATCCATAGTGCAAAATCACCTGCATCATGAGCATACCCTACATACACACCTTCTTTACTAAGTTCAAACCCGGTACCGCCAACTAGACCCGCGGTCAATCAATATAAACGGTAATTATGTCTACATTACCCTACCCACCCACTCCGGCCGCCCGACCCGCCCAAGATCTTGAACCCGCCCCCGCCGCGCGGCACAAGTTTGCAAACCTTATCGACCTATTCAGTTGATCGCGCGGCGAGACGGAAAGACACATAGATCGATGCAAAATGAGTACCGAAGATATGGTATTAAGTATTCGGTGATATGCAATATCTTATAGCATCTTCTATGGATTTTAAATAATTTTCAATAGAATCGTATAAAAAATCAAAGGATGCAACTAATCGGAAATAGTTAAAAAATTATCTTCGTGTAACCTCAAGTCGGGATACAAAGTGACAAACAGGCTGGAAGAAAGTCCGCCACTTAAAATTGGATGCACCCAGTATCGTCTTTGTCTTCTTCTGCGACGTCTCAGTCTTCTATATAAAATCCATAAGCAAATTGCCTCCTCCACGTCCATTGTCAATCAATGTTGAAGCCACACTGCCGCGCTACATATACCGTCATGTGAATGCTCCAACCGCGCGGCGAGCGCGGCTACGCGCGGTCATCTGAACTTAGCCTTAAGTGATACATGTATCTTATGTTCCATAATAAACATAATAAACACGTACTTACCCTAAGTTTTACACCATCACACAACACAGCCAAATTAGGTACCACTTAGTTAAATGTATTGTATATAATGTATAATTTTTATTTGTTTGTTTCCTTTTGTTAATTTTTGAAGCTTTTTGTAGTTAAATGTATTATGTATTCCATCTCTGGCTATTTTTTCAGTGTAACTTAGCTAGCTTAGCATTGGCTGTAGGATTACGAAATAAATAAATAATAAATATTTATTTATTACGGGTAATTTGGCTAATAAATTTTAGATACGATCTTTACTGCGTTGAACTAGTCTTATACTACACTAATTTCAAAAAGCATTAATCAATGTTAATGTCAACGTAATACACGAAGAAAAAAAAAATTTTTTTTCTATGTGTAATTAATGTACTATGAAAAATATTTTGTCACTCAGGTAACATTATCCCAGAGAGGTGTAAAAAAAAAGTAGCTTCAAATATCTATGACGAGTATCTTATATAAAAATTCATTTGTGAAAATCACATTAAAATCTAATTTAATTAAAAATAACGTTTATTATCTTAATAGGAAAATAACATAAATATAAATAACATCACAATAATTGTACAGTCTATGTGTGACTATATCTGATACACAACACAATAGCACCAAAATAATATCTTTGTAAAATCAATCACATTTTGTTCAAACTGATATTCAGAAACAAGACACCAAGTCGGACTCAAAAATTTCAAAAATGTTAGATTTTGACATACGAGAGACATACATCCATATTCTAATTCGTATCTCAAATCATAATCTCGTCTTGACAGCGCGTCTAATGTGTCAAACTTCATACAGAAAACAACTCTTGAAAATAGATTTAAGCGTGTAAGAACTGTGTACTTAATTTCTATGACAACACATTTAATGTCATATTTTTATGTTATGTTACTAGAATCTATACTTAAACCCGGGACTGCAAATGTATAAAAAATTGAGTAAGATATGGTCAAATATCTATGAAATTTGCTGGACTTCCATTCTAGAAACTCAATCAAATCTATTTAATTTTTTTCTGTGTGAAGTTTGACATATTTGACAGCATTTAAGACGAGAGTGGGACGTTCTAAAACAAAATGCATGCTTAAAAAATACAAGATAGTATGACGTTACAATTTTTACACATATACACATTACACATAGTATTGTCTTTTATTGACATAACTTTTACACATAATAAAACAATTTTTTACCGGATTGAAGTTACGTATTAACAATTATTTTACAGCTATAGAAAAAGTTGTATTATCTTACTGTTGTGATACTTTTTGACATTCAACACCTTTTGTCTTCAGTCACCGTGACCACGCACGCTGTTAAGCACGCGAAACGTCGGTTAAATTTAAAATAATTGTAAATACATAACTTCAATCCGGTAAAAAATTGTTTTATTAAACATTACACATCCATAACTGGAAACCAAAATACCAAAAAAACACAGTCAGATTGGAAAATTCACAAACAATTATTTCATTTTATGTATTAAGATAACACTATAATGACGTAACGGTGTTGTCAAGATAAAAACTTAGCACTATGGATCAAATACCACGACTCTTTCCGACTAACACTTTTCGATGTAGAATCTGAACATTCCTTTAACTTTTAGTACGAAAGTGTCCATTATAGTATACTAAATTTCTTTGGAAGTAATTAAAATGTTCAGAAGTCAATCCCAAGTTGGTCGCGCAACTTTATTGATCAAAGTCTGTTCCGGTGCGATATGTATGGGATTGTTGAAGTCGAGCTGAATATTTTCTGGGATCGTGTCCATGTATGAGAGATGTTCGTTGACTTTATCTGTAAAATTATTTAAAAATACTGGTGTACTTGTTACGTAAGTTTATACTTGTACTTTAAGTAAAAAAAAACAATTTTTGAAGTGAAAACTTCTTTAGTATTGTTGTGATTTGAATGTCGATGAAACGAAAAAGAGACAGAACATAAATTCATAAGATTTAATGTGGGAGAAAATGAGATAGGAAGTATTATACAGTGTATAAACTATAAATAATTAGTGTAGTAAGAAGTTTTCACTATTCAGGTTTGAAATAGATAAAAGATCCGATCTGTCTATTTCGGTGGGTGGAGTTTTTGATACTGCTCAAATATTATATAATACTCCGTAGTTTTTACCTGCTTTTCTCCGTAGAACCGAAAGTGTTTTTTAATAATTTATTTTTTGGTTTATACTTTTCGAGGTATTTCTAAACCAATACGTCTTAGGCCCTTTCTCCACTGCTCCGGTACGTTAATTACCTATCTGATTTAGAAACTCACAACAGTACTTACGTACTTCTCCACTACTCCGGAATCCGGTTTTTTACGATCCGATAATTTGCTAGATTGGAACGCGGTGTTTTATCGGTCCGAAGTGATCGACAGTGATTCCGGTTTCCGACGCCGGACCGGTGCAGTGGAGAAAGGGCCTTAGGGTCCTTCAAGAAACCTTTTGCCTTTAAGTGTCCATAGCAAAAGGACACTATGGTAGTATTAATTTAATTTATGGCGGTATCACTTCAGGTGTGCCCTGTGTTCTATAAAAAAACTTACTTGTAAAGTTGAGTCTGGCAATTATATCTTCGATTTGTTTTCTATCGAGTGTGGCTTTGACTGTGATGCGATCTCTGATGACGCTGCGCTTGTGTCGCGAAGAGCGTCGCGTTGCATTTCTACTTAGCAGTGGAAGAGTGAATACTGACTCTGATAAAGGAGTGTTGTCTGGTCCGAACTCCTATAATGTAATGTTCAAATGTCAATTGTCAAAATCAGCTGTCATAGAGTTAATAAATGAAATTGTTAAGAATTTGGTAAATTTTAGATAAAGCATATTTTCTCATGCTTTAAAATCTATGCCGTCTTGGTTTTTTTGTACTTGTTTGTACTGTATTATGTACACGACGGATTTATTATTAATTCGAATTATTTTAAAGTCATGGCACAATGTTATAATTAGAATGCTGTGGCAGTTAATAAATAATCAGGTGTTACACCAGTGAATCTTAACGTTACATGATTAAATTATATTCTTTATATTCAATTATTCGCATTTATTCATATTATTTACGCCTTAATTTTATTTTTACTTAGCCTACCTTTTTATGTAGCTACAATAATAAAACATGGAACATATTACACTTTTTTTTCTTCCAATTTTGTTTCATACCTTCATCAGTGATGTAATAAAAATACTCGAACTGGTCTTCAAGTTTTGTGCTTAGCAACATATTTTGTGATTAATTTTTATAGCTAATTTAGACTTAACTAAACTAATAATTTTAAAGTATAATCACGTTGTAATCTGTATAATAATTTCTTAACTGATACTCCTGTTACTTACCAAGCATTTTCCACTGACGCAGAAGGAGGCATTGTTCTTCCCGCAGCTGGTGCCGAGAGGGAACCAGCCTTCTTGTCCGTTCACGAGATAGAACCTGTGGCTAACCCTTTCGTCTTGACATGCGATTCGACATGGACGGTCTGGATCCTCTGCGAGAAACCAATTATATGTTCATGAATTAAATAAATTGTGTAAATAGATTTTTTTTAAATCAATTTACATAATAATTTAACAATTTAATGAATAAAAATTACAATAGGCTACTTTTAAGAGATAAAAATTTCTGTATAGATATTCGATTTCCGTCCCCTAAATAGTATGGTTATGATTATGATTCCTCAAGTTATATTTCTATAGTATGATATTTATAATGATTTGTCAAGTCCATAATTTGTTTTGCGTACCTTTGCACCTGTTTCATAAAATAACTTTATTAAATTCGTGTTTTTAGTTTTGAATTGTTAAAAAAAAAATAGTTTTACGAGAATTAGGAGTATCCTCGTAAAACTGTTATTTTCAACGCGATTTCCGATAACACGGTCCGGGTCTACCGCGTTATAGAAGGGTATTATATTGTATTTGTGTCTAATTATTAAGTGTTAACAATATATATATATCATATGAATTGTATAATATTCATACCTAATGCAGGAGATATTTGCATCCCCAAACCAGATAGTCGTCTCACTCTCTCCTTGTATTTGCTGCATACTATTGTTGCATATTGATATGGGCTCATTCGTTGGCTGCATCCCTGGTCATTTATGTCTTTTATTTATTAAATTCTAACTTACTACCACATAGTTTCACTTTGATATGACAAATGAAACGTCATTTCATAAAAAGATTATGTCCAGCTAAGATAAATGATATCTTTAAATAATACTTCAGTCATGTCGTCCGTAAATGTTCTAAATCTAGTATCAGTTTCATGTACATTGTATACGAAATAATATAATTTCATTGAATAATGCAATCAAAGGTGCATATTTGTCACAATTGTACGTCAATAAAAAAAAGGCTTTAACAGTGAATAATGTAAACATTCATAGAGCTGGCCTAATCAGTCTTCGGACACGTTACATAATATATGTAATGTGTTCTAATCGAACAAAAGTATACTCACTGACTGTTGTTACTACTAACGTATGAGAATAAATTTCCATTAAAAATTCACTACTCTTATACACAATTAAAAACATTTCGTATGCGCATTTTAGAATATTCACGTTTTCATATAGTGCCATCTAATGGTGAATTGATGTGATTTGAACAATAAGAAAACAAAAAAAAAACGAGTATGAGTCGAAAGCAACCCAATTATAATTTAATTATCATAAATATTGTGTTTAGATAAGCGTTCCAAAGTAAACTTACCGACAGCGGTCGCCCGACATCCGGTTGGCAAATCTGAATATTGTCCCTATGTGTAGTAGCGGACTGTACTAGACGCAACCCGGTTCCTCCCGCGATGCATCTATAGTGACAACCGCTGGTTGCCCTCCATTGCGAACCTACCGCACGTCGCCACGTGCCTGACGTTTTGGTTCTGAGGATTTTATCTCTAATTATAGCTTTAATATTGATTTATATTTTTGAACAGGTTATGTATGCATTCAATATTAAGTATTGGCTGTTTTGTTCTGTATAATATCTGTGATGTTTTGGCAAAATGATTTGATTTGACTCTAACAACAGCCTATTAAATTTTTTGGAATGACAGCCTAAAACAAAATCCAACTCAATGTAGAAGATCGAATATGTAAGATACATTTATTTATATCGTCACGCTTTTTTCCCAAAGGGGTACGGATCTCCAATTGCTACTCTCTCGGTTCATCCACTGTCATGAAATTCACCATGCATGCTCGTTGGTTATGGGTACTTTTATCTGGTCCCTTCTCTAGTATATGGTCCAGTTATGTACGACAAGGCCTACCTAACCCGATTTTACTAACCCCGGTTGCATGATACAGAACTATGTCCTCACTGAAAATGAGTGCCGTGGTCACGTGACCACGTGAGTACGTACTCGGACCAATTTAACGGCGCACTTCAATGTTCTTTCATTTTATTTATAACTGGAATCACTATTGAAGTTGAAAAGTATGTATTTCAATAAGTTTAATTTATAAATCCATAGAAAATTTTAATTATAAAAATAAGTTAGATTTAGAATAAAGACATTAAAAGATCTACCGAAAAATACAAAAGGAGACTTCAGCACCACGTCAACCGGCTAAGAAAGACGAACCTTGCCGCAGTTTCTTAGTTTGTGAGTTACGGAGGGAAAACAATATTAATTGATTTGCATTCCCTAATCGCCTCAAAATCATATCATAACATCTAATAAAAGCCAAGCGACTGATTACAGATGGATAAAATTAAAAACAAGATAACCAGAATATCTTATTAAAATTAACAATATCACAATTTTTTACTTACGAAGTGGTATGAGGCGTAGCGGTTTGCAGCTGTAAAGCCTCCCATTCGCAATCTGATGCACGCTGTGAAAACTCCGTATCGGAACCGGTCCCGCATGTGAATTTCTATAAGAAATATCGAAATTCACATAAACACATAAATTCACACATTCTATAAGAAAGATTGCGAAAAATATTCACAATTCTGTATATCGTCAACGGAAGTGAACTGTCTAAGTGACAGATGACGTGATATGAGTAAGTAAGATTTTAAACTAAGCGCTAAGTGTGACACAAACGTCAAATTTAATACTCAATCAGCGTTATTATAAAACTTGGGAGTTAGTTCGTTACATGTTACCATGGTTACCAGCGTTTTAAATGAAAATAATATCGTAACCATAGGAACGCCTGGGCTAATGCCCATAGTTAATTTCTGAATGCCTCAAATAGTGAGAAGTTTATGTTTTATTTTGGAAATAAGAAATTGTGAAAGGCATAGGTAAGTAAACCTTACCCTACAAACTCCAGATATGCAGAACATGGGCGAGAGCGTGGAACAAGCAGTGCCATCTGGTAGAGTCCACCCGCGAGACTTGTAACCGCCACCTCGGGTGTCGCACCATACTGCGCACGCGCTGCTTACATCTATTACAGGATTATTTATTATAGCTATCTATACAAATACTGAACCAACGTATAAAGCTACATTATAAGCGTGTAATGTTGCAAGATGGGAGAATTTATGTTCCTTAAAAAGCTCCCCTTTGGTTGAACGCGCTATTGAGATCGAACTCAAGGAACTACGGAAATATAAATATTTATGTGCTGAATAATTAATCAATGCAGGAATTAACGATGGCTATTAGAATCATCATGCGATGAAATCGCAGGTCACTCTTAAAAATGTAATAAATTTGCCTTTAAATATTACGTATTTACAAAATATTAAGTTTTTAAAAACGTTAAATTTAAGATTTTAATGCGCCTTCTATTAATGTTGTATCACATAAACTCAATAATAAATCACATTTAAGATGTTAGAAATATGGGATTTTAAATGTTGTAATTTGAATCTTACCGTCATCATCCAATCTCTGAAGACCAGTTCCTATCAAGTCGGGGTCTACTTCGCGTGCGCGTGAGCATATTTGGTCGGTGAACTCTCGAACTGTCATTCTGGGAACATTGTTGCACTGGAACAGAAATTTATTCTTATTCACCTCCCTTTTATTTATCTCTATAGACACTACGCTTATGGCTGTTATATGATTTTAAAATGCATTTTTGGTCGAATTCAATTCATTTTAGAAGAAACTTAGTCTTTTCTTGGTACTTTAAAATATGCAATAATACAGTTCATTTGTATCATTTCTCGTGGCTGAGCTTCAAGAAAGCGCGCTATGCCATACCCGATCGAAGGCTTTTGCTATATACAAACTAACCGCTAACGCCATTGGACACAATTGCCTCTGCAAGGTATACAAGAAGGTCACCAACTGACAGCGTCGGATATGATGATTTCAACTGTATAGTTATTTTCAATTTTGACGAATCAAGGCGTTCCCTAACCTCTATGCCTGAGCGCTGTCTGTGATTAATAAGTCTTTAAAATTTAAGCAGATAAAACGTTGACTTACCTGGTGCGCGTCACATGATTGATACTTTTTGTCGTGTCCATGGCAATAGCTTTTGCCGTTTTCATATCTATAAGAACGAAAAGCACATTCATTGGATGTTTAGTACTAAATATTTGAAACTAAAATTTTAGTTCTACTCGTTACCACTAGGGGTGCTGTAAGACTTTTTATACAAATATTTGACAGTCGATTTGTTACTGCGTAAATAAAATAAATATGCTCATGGGAGCTAAAAAAATAATTTATAGATAGATCAGTCAGAGGGATAATAAATTATTTGAATCCCGCTTTTAAGTCAAATATGAATAATATTTTCTATTATTGACGCGATTATAAGAGATTGAAAAGATAATTGTGATAAGTTTTCATTAATTATAAAATACAAATTATTTTCTATAAACAAGAAAAAAGCGATCTAACGAACCTGCCTCTATTACAGCGTCGAGTGGCAAACGCAACGCCGCTAGCAGCCGGCGCGTGCGCATCATCCAACAAACACGCAGACGCACAATCAGACCAACGCGACCACCGACCCCAACGCCCTTCGCTATGGGAGACACCGCTCCAGCGATCTACACATTCTCCGCCACGACAATACTGAAATAACATTAATATAAATTTTTTTGATATCATTTCTTTTTAATATAAAGATGAACCAGTGGCGCTACCCTTTATTTAATAGACAAGAAGGTAAACTGTGAAAAATTTGATCGATTTCTGGGTCTAAAGAATGCCGGTTTCTCTATTCTGCCTTGCGGTACAACCAAATGGTAATACACACATAAATCCATTCGTATATTGCTGGGATTTGAACGCATGGCATGGTTGGGATTCGCACACTTTACCCACTAGACTACGCTTGTGATTGGTCAGCAGCGCCTGTAGTTTTATCACAGACCAATCACGATTAAGGAAATCCAAGATATCAATTTTAATAGAATCTTAGTCCGATTCGATAAGTAAGAATGTTATAATGTAGTTTATAGATAAGTATAGGATTAGTAAAGAAAATAAAATGTCGCAATATTATTTCGGAGTACATAAATATAAGCATGATACTGATTCAGTATTTCTTGTCAAAGTTTTATTTAAGGAGAATATTTAATCTTCGTTAAATGATATACATTATGTTGTCTTAGGTTCTGTTTCTAAATACAAAATACGAGTCGTAATAACGTAATGTAGATTTTTTTATAAAGAACGCATTTGACACATTTTCCTTGTCATAGGGTTGGAAAAACGACTCCTCGACATCCTATTAAATGTAATAGTCAAATTAAGATACAGTTGAGACTAAACAAAATAATTCAGTGGAGGCAAATAAAAAAAAGTTTTGTCAGAAGTGGGATTCGAACCCACGCCCTCAGAGAGGACCAGAACAGCTCAACCTGTTTAACAGGTAAGATTACTCTTGAGTCTGGCGCCTTAGACCGCTCGGCCATCCTGACTTTTCTGTTGTAGTTCAAATTATCGAACATAATATTTACCTTTCAAGTATTTAAATTTAGAATTACTTATTATAATCGCCGATTCGAAATTGAAAATAATATTATGTTTATTTAACTTTAAAATAAATAATTTGTCAACTGATTCATAAATCTTGTAGATGGTTTTATGTTTCCTATATTGTACTGGCTAAATTGCTGCGCCAATTTTGATCAAATTTATTTATTACGGTTCTCTGTAACTTTAGATATGTAAATCGGTTTATTGGTTTCCGTGTAGTATTTTTAATGTAAGGTATGTTAGAGTTGGAGAAGACATATACCCCTTTTTAAATTTAACAGAAACGGGCATAATATCGTCATATATGTCAATATGTAACTTTTTATTGACTTTAGATCTTACCATGTCTTCCCCGCACCGTGTTCCCTCAAGTGCTGGATGTGACGTCCAGGTGTATCGCTCCCTTTGACAATGCAGGTCTCTACAAATGTCTTCCAAGTTCTGAGATCCGGAATGACGACTGCCTCGACCGTATTTCAGCATACCTGAAAGGTGTTTTAATTTAACAATATCTAGTCAGACATCCACAGGATCGCAGAGTCACCTCATATTGAGTATGGTATTCATAAATGATTATGTATTATTAATAAGTATAGTGTGTATTATGTTTCGTTTGGCTCACTCATGTCTTATCTTAATATTTTTAATTCTACTGTTTTTGAATGAATTTTTTTGTATGCGTTTGGCTGGCGCACTAGATGGTTTAGATTCACAAATCAGCCTGGCAGAGAGCGCTACAGTCGGTAACTAGGTTAATTATCTATACAGCAAATAAACAGCTGGTAGGTATATATAAATCTTCTGAGCATGTGTTCGTAATTATACTCCTAAAAGGCTAAACAAATTTGTGCGTTCAAGTGGACTCGAGAATGATTTACATTATTAGATTTTTTTTTGTATATAAGACGTGTTTACAGGACAACGTCTGTCGGATCCGCTAGTGTTAGTAGAGTAAACTAAACCAAAACTTATTCAAGAATGATCGATGTTAAACAAGACTTCAGAAAATCTCTAAAATTATTATATTACCTATAGTTTCATCGTCGTACACGAGTATTTAAAGAGATTGTGAACGCAATTGTTTATATGGATTCCTAAAAGTTTAAAAAAGCAAATTAAGTTAAAACGTAACATCAGCTGGCACTCGAACAAAACTGACGATGTTATGCGCGCGACCTTGGCCTTGAACCGTTGACCGAATAAACCGAGTTCAAGGTCATTATGTTCTTAAAGGAATGAAGCGTTTATAAATGTCTGCCAACGGACCTTACTAATTCATACTTCAGAGAGGCTAGACTGTTTAAACTAAGGCATGCTATTCAAAGATTTATAAAACTAACGAATAAGTGTCAGTATTTTGTATGTAGTTTGAATGACGTATAGATTTATTTTCCGATATATGGAGCGTTATTAAGCATAAAAATTAGTAGCGCGAGTTTTGTTCGGTAGCGGTTGTTGTACGCAGTACGGATATGTTAAAATATCTGTTAAATGAAACACTTTGTTTGAAGCTGGGTGTCAACTGGTTTTAATTGTTCAAAACATGAGCTTATAACTAAAATAACATTAGGGGTAGTGGGGTTGTGATGCTGGATTAACAAAAAACTAACTTGACTTATTGAAGAGTTCGTAAATCTAAGTGACAATTATGTGGACATTATCGGAAACGAGAATGTTAAATTACAATTTATTAATGTGGTATTGTGTGTGTGGTATTGGCATTAAGTTGCATTGATTGCTTACGTTTTGTTTACGCTTTTAATTATTAAGTTAAATATATATATATGTAACTTAAGTAATGTTAGGTTACATAAGACATAACTAGCGCCTGCAATTAATGGCATTTCATAATGAAAAAACAACGCGTCCTGAAATTTATTTGACTTAAGTATATAATATCAATTAAAAAAAAGCTGTCCGATATTTACCGTACTGTTTAGTATACAATGCTCATTAAAAAAATCATGGCGATACAACCTCTTTTAGGTATGGGCCTCAGATTCCTGAATCTGTTTCATGATCATTTTTTTTCAATCTAATAGGCAAGTAGGTGATCTGCCTCCTGTGCCTGACACACGCCGTCCACTTTTTGGGTGTAAGACATGTCGGTTTCCTCACGATGTTTTCTTTCACCGCTCAAGTGAATGTTAAATGCGCACATAGAAAGAAAGTCCATTGGTGCACTGCCGGGAATCGAACCTACGACCTCAAGGATGAGAGTTGCACGCTAAAGCCACTAGGCCAACACTGCTCAGTACATATAGGCTTGTCTTTGATAGACCATTATTATAAGATATAATTTATATTTACATTGTTGGTCAGCGTCAAATCGTTCCCCTGGAAGTAGACCTTCAGCACTGTGGTCCAATTGTCCAGCCGAGTTGCCATGGTCGAGTAGACATCGCGATTGGGATGAGCTGCAAAATCCCAAATTAGTAATGTTATGGTCTCTCGATGCAACACACTTGCATTGAATAGTACACAAAACGTACACTAAGCTCAAAATTTGTGATTCAGAATTTGTTTGATTCAGAAGAAGAAAGAAGCACGTAGAAATGTCTGCCTTAACAGACATTTGATTATTCATGTTTCTTAACGGGAAAGTAGGTTCCATACGCCATATACCATACCGATATCATTCCTTTGAGCATTGAACAAGCCGGGTTCAATTCTCGAAGGAGCGTATATATAAATATATACGCTAGACGCATATTGAATAACCAGACTAAATAAACTTTCTCTACATATGCAATATGTGTTTATTTATGTATAATTCATTACTTTTTACAAAAAAAAAATATACGTATAAAAAAATTAAAATGCAGGTTACATAAATTATAAAGTTACGGCCTTATCGCTAACAAGCGATTTCTTCCAGGCAATCCTATTGTGAAACAATAGAAAAATGAAACACCTACAGAGGGTAGAGTACAAGAAGTGCAAAAAAAAAACTCAAAATGACACGTAACTATAACTAAAGTAAAATCTAAAGAAAAATAATAAAAAAAAAAAATATGTTCAAAATTTAAACAAAAATCTAAATGCCAATCAAAAGGTTAACTGAGTCATAATAATTAATATATATAAGTAGTAGCTAATTACGAGGCGGAAGAAAAATGATCAAAAAGAAGCTTTTAAATACATTGAAAGACTGAGCTCGTCTGATATCAATTGGTAAGGAATTCTAACAGGAGAATTTTTTCCATTAAAGGGGAGGAAAAAAGATCAGTTTTATGAGTAGGAGTTTCAAGAATTAGATTGTCTAAGGAACGCAAGTCAAAACTACCGCCAGAGAGGAACATAAAATTTTGCTTTAAGTAACTATGTTTTAGTTCGCATAAAGTAATCAATTGATAATTGGGAGTCAGCAAGATTTATTATTTTTGCACGCTATTCTTAACGGGCGGGTCCATACTTGCGGATTCTTTAAGAATCCCTCCCCCGTATGCGACATGTGCCACGTACGAACACGAATTATCTTCGTAATTCGCCAATGTTTCGGGGTTTACTACAAACAATTTATGAAGATGTTGATACCAGCAACGAGCGTAGGGGTTGCCCAAAAAACCCATTTTAGTGGGTGTGTTGGGGGCCTTGGATGGAGAAGTATGTTCTTTAAACAATTGGATGCGTAGCGTATCCAGGGAAGATCCCCACCAGGAGTCGATTAGACAGTTCGGATAAGAAAATGTCTAGTAAAGCGGACCGTGGAAGACGTCCATCCCGCTATAAATTTGTCCATAAAAGTAATATAATTGATATTGTTAAAAGTGGATTCATCGTATCTTTTTCATTTTTTACCTATGGGAATCATAGTTAGCTTTAAAACTCGTTTGTGGAACAAATTTTAAAATCTAAAATAAATTTTCAGAAATTTTGCAAAAAAATAAAAATTTTGTAATTAAAAAGTTATAATTAGTTAAGTTATAACTAACTAATTACTATATAAAATAAATAAGTTAAGGAGCTACTATTATTTTGGTCTTTGCACAATATGTAGATGAAATTGCACATACATTTTAAAATTCACATCACAAGAAGTCAATTTATTGCACTAATATATTTTCTGTGGTTGCGTCTTTAGAAAGTATGGTTTTTCTTTGGAATATCAATGATTTTGTTCGATGTTGAAATAACACGTAGATTGGAGAAATAAAAGTAAGATCATTGTTTTAATAAAAACGAGCTGACCCCGCTAACTCGTTCCCATTAAAATTATAGACTCATTGTGCTAGAAAGTTTACGATATTATTTTTACTATGAATAGAAACAAATTAAAAAAATCTATTAAAAATCCATTTTTTAAAATCGTAGTTTATAGTGACCTATCGGATTGTTCTTGGCGTTAAAACAGAAGACTACAAGATATGTCTACAGGGAGTGTAGTGGTATTTTATGTATTTTAAAATCTCAAATCTTACTTAAAGATTATAAAGGGAATCTACATTTCTCTTCTATCAAATGTAGCTTTTAGAATATTTTGACGTGTTAGCAATAATAACATCTCTTCACAAAGATAATAATTAAACAGCTTATTTGTAAACAAACGAAATAATCTTGCTTCAGAGGTCATGGGACCGGTAACCGATCAGCGGTTCCAAAGTATTTATGTATAAAAATATGAAATAAGTCATCATAATCATAAGTTGTACTTACTCCAAAAATTTATCCAAATAGTTTTTACTGCACTGTGACCAAGTTATTTTTCCGCTTCCTAATGTTGGGCTCATTATGTAAGCGCTTGGATCGCAACCGTTATCAGCTAAGGGGCCATCATGTCGCATTCCTAAACTGAAAGAATATATATTATAAGTGCAATTTATATTAAAATTTACTTCCTGTATGGAGACGTGGACTATCTTGGCTCGAGAAAGGCAAAGGATCGATGGCTTTGAGATGTGGTGCTGGCGGCGAATGCTCAGAATATCGTGGATTGCGAAGCGCACCAATACATCGATCCTGACCCAACTCCGTATACGGACTCCGTATACCATATGCCTACAGCGAATTGTATCTTATTTCAGCCATACAATGCGCAGAGGCGATGGGGAGAAACTGATCGTGGTTGGTAACACAGAAGGCAAAAAACCACATGGCCGTTCACCAACCAGATGGACCGATCAAGTGAAAGACTAATAGTCTTCAAAACTGTACACTGTCATAAGAGACGCGCAAAATAGGTGGAAGCAGATAATTCCGCTCCAGACGCTTTCTTGCTGAGACATAAAAATGATGCCCTAAACCCTCTTAAACCTTTGTTTAGATCACGAATATGAATAGAATCCAAATAGCTTAGAAAAATCTTACTTATGTCCGATTTCGTGGGCGACCACATAGACGCTTTCAAAATGCCTTCCTTCGTTGACAGTACAACTACTGGTCACTGTGCACATACCAGCAACGGGAGCTAAACCTGAAATATTATTTAGACTTAATTCTGCTGAATTTTTCCTTTAGTTGCGATTGATAATACCATAGACAATATAAAATATTATGTTGCAAGATCATAAATGCAACGTGCGTTAGTAGGTCAGTTTGCTCATACTTTAATAAATTAATAGTTTCTGATTTTGGTATGAAAATAAATAAGACTTCTACGTCCTAGAGTATTGGGTATCTTAGCTTTTACGTTTTTAATAGGTTTCTGTTTCTTTCTGTTTCTTTGCTTTAAGCCGAAATGTTTTGTCGTCGAGAATTAATTCCAGAACCAAACCAAAAATCAGAGCATGTTTGTTATGTACCTTGTTAGTAAAGTTACAGTTTAATAAAATAGATCGATTTCTACTGAAATTGTTGCATGTAAATGGACGTGTTTTGGTTACGATATAATGACATGAGTTTCGATACAGTCGATTAATCTTGCAAAACCGTTAAAAATCGTAATATAATATGACAAATATGTATTGCACTTACCAACAACTTGACTGCTTACTTTCCCATTCTTATTGACGACATACAAGTCTAATCCAGTTAAAATCAGGGCGTGATCCCAATGCAATGGGTCATTATCTCCTGGTGGGTTCTCAAGTCTTTGCCACGTACAGAAGTTACTTAGAAACCTATCAATATCATGTGGTCGTTTCAAATTAGAAGGATCTTCATGAAGAATTTCGAGTCTCTTTAGGATAAAATTCACTGGTCTTCCTAAACTGGGATCATGGTAAATTAATTGTACTGCGTTTATCATAGCTAATACAAATCTAACTAACTCTCTCTCCGTTTCCTTTGGAAAATTAACAGTCATATGTTTGTACAAATCTCTGTCTACAAAAACTGCTGTTTCCACAAAAATCGCTGGTAAAACAGCTCTTTTCTGCCTCCTTTCTTCTGTTTTAAGTTTATCAATAAACGCTCCTATAGTCTTATTTCTATGTATTAAATCTAACTTAAACTTATCTAGATTATTATGGTTGGTCTCAATGTTCCGTTTTCGTCGATGTTTCGACCAAGTTTTAGTTATTTCAGGGGAATCTTCAAATTGTTCTTTGATATAACGTCTCTCTATGCAATTGTCTTCAGTATTTGCATTTGTATCATCCATTTGGCGTTTAATAATAACGTGTGCTTTTGTATTTCCGTGGTGAAATCTTTCTGGCAGTGGGTGTACAGAATAATAACTGTCGTTAGATTTAATCAGTCCTCGCTGTAAGGTAACCATATAATTAATGATAAGATCGGTTACATAATGCACATATCATAATAAAGAAGCTGTGTACTTTATATTATTAAGATTCTAACGGTAATGAACCTATATAGGATTTTATTTATAAAAAAAATCTATCCTTTTGCATTAAATGGTCGGATTGAAGGTGAGAAAGTCTCAACTGAAATACCTATTGATGCGGTAATCGGTAGTTTTAAATGATATATTTTTTTACATAGCAACCGGGCAGGAGACTCATCTGATGTTAAGTGACACCGACGCCCATGTACACTTAATGCCAGAGGAAATTTAAGAATTGGTACGCTCTTTTCTTAAAGGACCCTAAGTCAAATTTGTTCGGAAATACTTCAGTGGGTAGCTGATTCCACAGAGTGGTGGCGAGCGGCAAAAAGTGCCTTTAAATGCTCAGTTGTGGAAAAAATTGACTACATTCATCATATGGGTATGTTCCGATATACACTGCGAGTACTGTATAGTGCTCCCTGTTCAAATTCGTTCCCTATGACTCCAGTATACAGCCGCAGCTCCTAGGGATTATGCGTCACAATCCCGCTTACTTCTACTGCGAGCACTGGGTTTTCGAGGTAAGGTACTCCAGTGCTTTGATACGTGATCAATCAAAACCACTTGAATGCCTAACGGCTGATATAACTTACAGTTTAATTACAAACATTTAAAATTCTAATTAAAGAATTAGCTTGGACTAATTAATATAAGTTAATATAAGTTGAGTTATGATAAACAGACTTTTTCTAATTAAAAAATACTTACTTTCTTTGTAGTATTAATTCAATTGACAGTTAATATTAATATAGATTTTTTTAATGCGATAATACTCCAATAATAGTTTTTCTTGTTGAATTGAAAAACTTTGATGCACTCATTTGAAAACTGTGTCGAAAAACGAAGCTGACTAGTATACTGGACTGCGTTCCGTTTTAAATTGTAACCAGTATAGCTGGCTATAGAGAAACGGTTTCACAGTATACTAAATTGACGGTACTCTGTACAGTGGTCGCAGTGTATATCGGAACATACCCATATTATATAGATCGGTTCGTCGGTTACATAGATAATTTGGTTCCTTTATCAGTACTTACCACTCCATCACAAACAAACAACGCTGCACTTTCACTTTTATAATAGCAAGCATCTAACTCCTCATCTGTATGCTGGTCTAATATAACTTCAGTACCATTGGACCATCTTTTCATTAGCAGGAACTGCGGATCGAGAAAGCTGCTTTTTGGGCTAAGTTTCAGGTCTAAGTGTTGTTTTATCGTAATTAGATCTTGATTCTCATAGGACAAAGACCGTTTGCGACGTTTCTGGTGTCTTATGTGTGCAATCTCGAATTGGGGATCTGTAAATGATATAATTGTTGTATTACTGCGTAACATCTTGTTAACACCTTTTTAATTGTTTCCTTATCCTCACTAGTAAATTCTTAATATACTTTTGCTAAAAACTAAATTATATAGGTAATGTATTAAAGAGTTACTGTCTTTTACTATGAAAGCATCCGCTGAGGCTTTTTGAAATTTCACCCCTACCTACAGGTGTGTATGTAACGATGTATTTTACTAAGTGTTCAAAGGATAACTTACGTTGATCACTTGCTCCAAACAAGAACACTTTTTCAGCTTCTGTGAGATAATTAAGTAACTCTTCATGACCCTGTAACAAATAAAAAACCTATATTTATTATTGTTTTAAAATCTTAAACAATTTGAAGTTTTAAACCTGATTTCAACTAGGAAGCGATAAACGATTTCCTTAAAAACGTGGAAACCTCTGATTAACCTCGCATTTGAACAAATCGGCAAATAATGTATTGTTTTATCTTGCTAGAAAATAGCCTCGACATTTTTGACAATGGCTACTTTTCACACGGATCGTGGGCCTTAATTGATGTATTTTTCAAGTTATGAACAGAAGCGATAATTGCAGTGTATGAAAGTAAATACGTACAACGGACAATTTTTTAACAAATTAAGAACTTCCTAATGTAAAGTATTAGGTACATATATTGAAACCATAAAATTTTGAAATTAAAGTTCAAATATATGTAACATCTTAATTCACAATATAATAAAAATGAACGAAGAGTTTTAAAGTAGCGTGAAGAATTATTATTACTCCATTTACTATAATACATACGAGTATAACTTCTTTTCAAAGGCTTATCTACGGAAAAACATCATTCATCTACACAAAATGCATTATTTCTTGATCCTTCCTTTGGGGGCCTTTGCCAAACTATTGTGACAAATAAATGACGAACGTTAATCTAAGAAAAGAAAAGAAAAATATATCTAAAATCGTGACGCGATAGTGAAATATTTGCTGTTATTATTAATAGTAATATCAACATTTATTACAGAAACGCAGAAGTTTTCGTTTTACCACATTTATACTGTTTATGGCGTGAAGAATTCCGTTTTAGATGTAACTGATTAACAGTTTTGTCTGCATAGTAATTCAAAGATTCATAACATATTTTCAAAATTAAATATTCAGAAGGTAATTAAAATTTTGAATTACATTTTCGACCTCAAAGTAAAAGTTATTTTCCCTTTTCTTTCAACGTCGATTTGTCGACTTTCTTTAGGTTTGCGGTTTGTAACTAAATTGGGCTTTCGTGTTATTTAATATTATTAATGTAATGAAAAGAGTTTTTATCTATTCTATGTATATTGGTAGATTATCATTAATCGGAAATTAAATACTACGCTGAAGCCAAGGTATAATAATCCCACTACATAAACAATTATATACCCAGTTATTCTATTCGGGTATTTCGTAAAAGATAGTTGAATAAAATCAACACATTAATCCATAGGATCTTATAATACAAGAATTAAAATATTTGTTAATAATTATGAATAGTTTTTGATACTTTCTTCCATAAGGGACTTATAAGTAACATACATAAAAGCTTCATAGCTTTATAAAATATACAGTAAACCTCTGCATGTTAAGATAGTGTATGTACAATAATTAAGACCAAAAGCCACAAAATTTCCTTTTCTGTAACCGTCGTAGATTCATCATGTGTACTTTCGTCTACTTTCTCCACAAAATTATCCAAATTACGCGGTTTTGTAGAATGACCTGAGACGCGAAAGCAAATAATTGTTTCGTTATAATTGCGTCAAAGTACGGTTGTTCAATAATTACCTCACTCGTAGCGTGAGAAACTGGATTAACTCTATTTTGATGGATTTTTATCGTGCTACGTAACTTTCGAAATAATACTTTTATTCAATAAGTAATTATGACATAAAATGTGTATATGATCATGAAACAGATACAGAAATCTGAGGCCCAGACCTAAAGAGGTTTTAGCACCATTGATTTATTAATTTTTTTTTAAATCTTGTGTATGTACGTAATTTTTTTTCCTACAATAAAGTTCACAAAAAAGATTGCGACTACATGAATTACAATCTAGCCTATACAATAATTATGGCTAAGAAGTAATATTATGTTGATTTAATTTTATACAATACTTATGAATAGCTTAAACTAAGATAATGTTCATTAACAGTCTTAGTGTTCTATAATGTAATGACACTATGTTCGTGTGTCCGAGAAACGTACATAAATATAATGTTATTATATCTAAATGGGTTAAAGTAGTTTTATATCTTAAAGGCAGCTTGCCTAATGTTTAGTAATGACCACAATAGACCAAGCTATATACCGGTATATAATTAAAGCTAACATATAAATAAGAAAGGACTGGTTGCACATTTTCAGTTTATGTTAAAAACGTTTTATGAAATTGAGCAGATTGTTATTATTTCTGTGACTAAATTGTTATTTGCAAGGCAAGTTAAGTATATTATAACCGCCCGTTGCCTTATAACTTTTGTAACTTGCTTTTTTTATGTGTACGTTTTTGAATAAAGTATAAATAAATAAATATTAGTTGTTAATAAATCGCGAAATATTGTTACAGGTAACGGAGCGATAACGATGCACCCGAATCTGATGATACTGATTATGCAGGAGTCTAAAATAATCGATCCGATTAATTTACCGAAAATGTCACATCACTTATAACCAATAGAAAAGTAGATAATGGTGGATTGTTTACAAATTTCAATACATTTCACAAAACTTTAAAAAATTTTTTAAAATACTTTGACGCATTTCCGGCAGCTAAACTCACTTGGAGGTGTTCCAATGAAGGTCCCCCAAGACTCCTGCATAATCAGTATCATCAGATTCGGGTACATCGTTATCGCACCCAACCCATTTACTTTTGTTCCAATATTATTGATGTATAAAATTTGTATTGCTATCTATATTTTCTCTAACAGTTGTTTGTGGGTTTTAAAACTTCTAAAACTTAAATATTGAAGAAGTGGGTACCCCAATACAAGATTTTTATTGTTATCCATGAAACGTATTTGTGATTTGATTTTTTTTTTATAGAACGGGGGCAAACGGGCAAGGAGGCTCACCTGATGTTAAGTGATACCGCCGCCCATGGACACTCTCAATGCCAGAGGGCTCGCGAGTGCGTTGCCGGCCTTTTAAGAATTGGTACGCTCTTTTCTTGAAGGACCCTAAGTCGAATTGGTTCGGAAATACTTCAGTGGGCAGCTGATTCCACATAGTGGTGGTGCACGGCAAAAACTGCCTTTAAAAGATTTAAACTTAATAAAATGTAATATTATTTAGAACGTGGAAATATCTTGGCACATTTTTGATTGTAGCAAATTGATTCCACGCAGACGTCTATCATCTATCACGATTCTAATAGGTCATGAATTTGCAATATAGTATTGTCATTTGCACTATAGTATATATGTCTTACTTATAAAGAGCGCTTGAGGGTTTCTGATAGTAAGGAATTTAAAATTGGCTAATTATTTCAATATTCATATTACAATAAATTAGAAACAAGACGGGACTTACAGCTGGCCTACTATCTACTTAAACTCTTGCGGGGGGTTTTTCAAGAACTCAGGTTCTTTGTACGAAGGCCAAGGTTGTTTGTGGCTAAGGGCCAGAACCAGTCTGTTGCACAGATCCCCGTTAACAAAGACGTTGCGCTTACTGAATGCTGTCCGACACTAACGACATCTTTATTTGTTCGCAGAGTGAGCTCACAGTAGCGATATTGTGTATCATATGTATATAATATTTAACCCATCTTACCTACTTCGGACAAGCAAAAAAGTTGGGGCGGCCGCAGAGCAGGTGGAAAATAAAAGGCTCGAATATAAGTCTTTCCTCGAACTTCTATTTTTATTAATACTATGTAGTTTAAGAAAGTTGTATCCCCTGTCACCACATAATTATATTTTATATAAACAAAATTAAATGTACAAAGATCCTTTATATTTCAATACGAAGTGCTTTACATGATTTACGAACCACCCTTACACGATTTACGAACCACTCTTAGTTCTTACTAAGTAACGTTTCCTTAGATTTCAACGGTCACGTAGGCCTTTAAGAATAGGATATAAATATAATAGAATACTTGTAATATTTAGTATTAAAGGACCTCAAACGACGGTTATTCATTTTAATTTAAGTTTTTAAAAACCCTTATTTCGCGGACCCACTACTTACTGGCGCTGAGAAGGATAGTCGTCTACATATTTATGTAGATCAAATTCTTTACCAAGGGGAAAACGTCGCGATTGCTAAAAACGCTATAAAAAAAATAAATTGTAACAAATCAAAGGTTAAGGGTATTTTGTGCGAGTTTGAGAGGATGTACTGGTAAGTACCTTTTCACCTTTCAAATCCAGCCCTCTCCACTTTTCTTTTGTTATTTTGAGATCGACATCTCTATAATAGTTTTAAGACTTTGTTAGAGTTAAATTGATATAAACGTAAATTGTAATAAGTCAATTAAAGAAACATAGAAGTAAGTAGGTTAGTGCATGAAATTCTGAACCCTAGTATGTACCTAATTATAAGTTTAGATTACATCAAATTCTGTAACCATAATTATTGGGTAATTGTGTAATTGTTTAAAAAAAAAAATGACGGAATTAAGATACTGCCACGTGAATTCTCATGTGTTATCCCGCTCTTTAATGGAGACGGAAAATTACTTACACCTTATTTAACAACCCGGAGAGGATTATACCTGTATCATTATAGGTTAGTAGGCAAGGTCAGTTTAGTTAGTGGGGACATTAAAACATGGCTAGAATTAAAATCATTATTGATTCAACATTTTGGCGATCCTCGCTCGGAGGAATGTTGCTATTGAATTGAAACTAGATTACAAACATAGACTACATATTTCTGTAATCGAATTCAACATGTTAAAAGTTGTTAATTGCAAAGTAAACTTACTTACAGACCAACATTTAAAAGCGAGAAAACACAATCTACTCAAACCTTCGAAGAATGTATTCTTATACAATCTTCCCAGGACTTAATTAGAATCGTAGATTAAAGAACCTAAGCTCCCTCTATCGTATTAGAAGAGGTCAACTTCAAATACCAGTACCAAGCCCATAGCACTATGTTAAGGCAATTACAAAAACCATCCATATTGATGTATCCCAAAATACAAAATCTACGAAATAATTCATTTGTAAATCCATCCCATTTAAACCGCAGATGCAACAAGCCCCACAAAGTAATTTTAAGTTATTCCCAATCACTTAATTCTATATTATAGAACTTTCAAAATAACAAATTTTACTTAGGATATAAACCAACTTTAGCCCAGGTTGGCATAGGCCACAATTTCAACCGATGGAAAAGGCCTAATTTCCAAAAATCAATTCAAATTTGAATCCCAACCAAAATTTGCGATTTCAAAATCCACCAAATAATTTAAATTTGGCATTCAACCAACACAACAACCGTATAGACTAAATAGGCGTTAAAAATGATGTTTCTTGAGGACAGCTCCTCCTCAAGACACTATATGAATCAACTATTTTATAATCAATGCAGGAGATTATGTAAACTTCCCCAAAGAACTACCCTAAAATAGATACGTTACCATGAATATTACCCCGAGGTCGAATATGTACCCAAGAGAAACCTATATAAGAAACTGAAACCGAAAATTTTCATACAGAAGCCTCGTCCATAAACCCACATAGTTCAAATTAATACGGAAAAGGTAAATAAATTACCACATATTTATATCCCCAAATTAAAAATTTATGATAGATACTGGCTCTACTAGATCATTTATGAGCCCTATATGGCAAACTTTTATTTTTCTGATTTTAAGTACGAAGAACCGTTCGAGGTGATAAGCACTCACTCACGAAGTAAAATAATGAAGCATCATTCCCTTACTGAAAACGTTTCAGAGTCCCTCAAACATAAATTTTATTTATATTCTATAGATAAAAGTTAGAGGCTTAATTGGTTCCGACTTACTAGAATTACAGCAATAACATGAAAAATCAATTGTTAATAACACTAACACAGTAATACCTAATTTATAGCCCCTCTCGTCAAATGTACTTGAACACGTTCAGAAACCCTTTAAAATTCCAACTTTTACAAAACTAAGCCTTATTAAATTCGTATTCCGCATCCTTTTAAATATAGATCATAAGCTTCAACAGTTATTCAAAATTACTACAAACTGTCACAATTCATTTCAAAAACCATTTATGTCAGCCCTTTCAACAAAACATATCATGTGTTATAAAAGTTAAGACGACATTCAGGTTGACGAAATCCTAAAAAAAATCTTAATAAAGTCCCCTATATGAATGATGAAGAGCGAAAAGCTATCACATTTATGTTACGAGTTTCGAGACATATTTTATACTGAAAAATTACCGTTATTTACAAACCAAGTTAAACACAGATATGTACGACAAATGAAGATCCGATATATGTAAAACCCTATAGATTACCCCATTTTAAACGACAAATTAATCGACAAGTAGAAAAATTACTCAGATAACATATACAGGAATACACTCTCCTATTACCTTTCCCAGTTAGATGCCTCTGGTAGAGAAAGTATATGGTAATCGACTATCCCTAAAGAGATCACTATGATGACAAATTCCCCCTGCCAACATACAGATTTATTAGACAAACTAGGAAAAGCTATAATTTCATACAATTGATTTAGCTCAGGTTACCATCAAATAGAAGTTTTAGAAAGAGACAGAAAGAAAACCGCGTTCAGTACACAGAACGGCCATTACGAATTTACGCGTATGCCGTTTGGTTTAAAAATGCGCCTGCAACTTTTCAGCGCGCAATGAAACGTTCTCAGAGGTCTCCACAACATTATTGTATGGTGTATCTTGATGACGTCATCATATTTTCAGCCACAAACACATACATAAATTAAGAAAGTTTTTACATTAGAGACTCAAACTTAAAAGTACAATTGGACAAAACCGAATTTTATGTAGAAGTTCTCTACCTTGGTACAAGATTACAGAAAATGGTTTGCAACCATATATAAAATTCAAGCAGTCCTAAATATCTTTACCAAAACCCAACTAAATAAGAGTTTTTTGGTTATGGTTATTATCGCCGATTCATAAAAGGACTTTGCTAAAATCACAAAGCCCTGACAAATTGCTAAAAAACGTCATAAAATTGTAATAGATCAACAATATTACCTTTCAAAGGGGTAGGGAACTATTACAAATGCACCTCTTCTACAATACCCAGATACAGAAAAACCCTTTATCCTAACGACCATTCAATAGTTATCTTATTTTCCATAGTAGGAAGACTTACCCGTTGCTTACGCGACAAACCTCATAAATGAATCTATATAAATGAAGTGAGCTTCTAGCATTTTTGGGCTATCAAACATTTCCGCCCCTATCTTTATGGGAAGAAGTTCATTATTTACACAGATCACCGCCCTTTAGCGTGGCTCATTCTCTTAAGGAACCCAGTAGTAAACTCACCCGTTGGCGGTTAAATCTCCTACTAGACTTCGAAGTAGTTACAAAAAAGGGAAACAAAACTGTAATGCTGATGCTTTATCTCGTATTAAAATTAATGCATTATCCGATAAAGAATCCATGAAAGTAAACTGATAATAAGGAGATACAAAAACGATGCGTCGCGATTCACAAGACTAAGAACAATTTCTTACTGACTCTAACATTAAATACTATTTCCAGAATAGATTAAAAACAATGAATTTTCGAAGTTCATTCCATCTTTAGTAAATCTGAAACTATACATTCACACAAGACCTTGAGTCACATATTCCTATTTTAAACAGCAATTGATTCGAAGCCTAACCAAATATTATTTTCCAATGGTATAAAAATTAAGTTCTGACGTGTCCCGTAAAAAAAAGAATCTTAGAAGTTTTTCTACCCATAGATAATGAAAATTTAATCAAACAATTCCTGAAAGAATACATAAAACCCAAAAAGAAATATTTTATATATTTCAAAATACGGACACCCAATTCACAACATGGTAATTAGGCTTTTTAAAGTGGATAATTAATTTTATGAGTGTACGGAAAGAATTTTTTATTAGATGAAAATGAACAGAAAGCCGTTATTCTGAAATTTCATCTCGGAAAAAATTCAAAGGTATTCAAGAAACTTTATAACATCAGGCGACACTTCTTGAATAACATGAAAGAAACTATATCAGCAGTAATTAATTCTTGTGAAGCCTGTAAACAAATGAAATATGACCGAAAGCCTTAAACCATATTTACAGTTAACTCAAACGCAAGATGCCCCATTAGGAATTATTTATAGATATATTTAGTATCGAAGGAAAAATACCTCACCTTAGTTGAGCTTTTACAAATAGGACAGGCGATTGAAATTCCTAGTAAAGGCACACCTGACGTTATCCGCGCACTAATAAAATACTTTTCATTTTACGGTATACCTAAGAAAATAAGCTGACTTACTAATTCCCATCTATTAAAGAAATGATGTCACTCTATAAAATCCAAATACATATCGAGCCTAGAACCCTAATTCAATGGGAATAGTTGAACGTTTTCATTCCACCTTATCGAAATTTACAGACTGGCAAAATACAAACAATGTACCGACGCCCATCTATTATACCTACTCTATCATGGCATATAATAATGCGATTCATACTGTAACAACTTTAACACCTTTGAAGTAGTGTTTGGCCATGTAGATTCTGAAAACCCATTCAATATAGACTTCAGAAACAATACTTGCAAAAATTAATTAAAGACCAGCCAAAAGAATAAAAGTTTTTACAAATACATATCTGATAAAATGTTAAGTTTAAGGAAAACTCTAGAAAAAATATATCCGTTCCAAAGAAAACATTTTAAAATTATAAATCCAAGAAGGAAACCTTTTTGAAAGGATAGTTAAGAAAACCTAAAAAAACCTCCCTATTAAATTAGGTAAACACAAAAAGTACCAATTAAAAACATAAAACGACCTCAAAGGTGGTGTATTGATGAATCAGCTTGCTTCAACTTAAAGTTGAAAAAATTCAGGAGCCGTAAGACAGGGATAAGCCTTAGTTTAAAGATTTTTAGGAATAAGGAAACAAGTAGAGTATTTAGAAAGAATAACTACTGAAAAGATTAGGCAAATAATCCCTTCACACCGAGAAGAGAACCCTCTAGTTTTATTTATAAGAAATGATAGGGATCTCAATTAATTATATATTAGGTAATCAAAATTTCAAAAGCGTTTAAAGTTGTTTCCAAAATGTTAGATGGATCATTAATTTATCAGAAATATTCCATAATCAAAAATTATGGACGAAAGATAAACGTGTAGAAAAAAAATGTTAATAGAATAAGTACTAAAGAAAATAATGCAGTATACTCTACATATGTTTTAAGTTTATATAATTTTTATAAGTAATTTTAGAACCTTTATATAAAAATAATATTGAAAGATACGATTAATGTTAAATATAATGATAGACAGGAAAATAACTTTTTATTAGAGGTAGCTTTATAGCAATTCAACTTAAAGTTATAATAGAATGTATCCCTTACTATCTTTCATGACCCTAAAAACCTAACCTTAATAATCATTCCTAAATATCCCTATATCCTGGTGAAAGGTGTAACATACTTACCGCCTTATACAGCCTTCAAACAAGTCTCTGAGGAAAATTTTATAATCTCCTGCACACAAGAAAAAGGGCAACCGTATCCTGAAACGA